GGGGGCGCATCCCTCAGACGGGATTGATTAACGCCAAAAACTTTATCCCTTTTTTTATACTAGAATTGCTCTCTTCTTCCACCCCACCACGGCTCGCTTACCTAGACTCCTACGAAGTTTAAAAGAAGAATTCTTATATATCCATAGCTTATTCACATTCAACAAAGCCGGTGTTTAATTGGAAAGGATGGACCGATTAACTCCGGGAATTCACTATGTGCTGAAGTCGAAATGCATTACCAACTACTGCCAATCCTCGCCTTTGGACTCGTAAAAATGGGTAATGAAGAGCCTACGTAGAACAGCACAAATCAACGTTGATGGGAACTGGTTGATCGTTATTGACCGCTATCTTTGTAGCTGTTTTCCACCATATCTCTTCAATAAACTCAGAACTCGAATACAGCACGACTACCGGTATTGTAAGCAAACTTCAGTACACAACAAAGTGGATTTTACGAATCGTTGAACCGACGGACACTATGAATCCCATTATGAATCTATGTCTAATGGGTGCGTGGCAGTGAACACCCACCAATCACTTTCTCAACAAATCGTTTAGCGATGTCGATTGATCGATATCCACCTATTCCTCTAAGTTGTAATTTCCTACCCCTTTTAAAAAAGGCTCGAAATAGTTCTAGAATCTGAAATGCTGTTGAACCAGAATGGAACCTTAATGTATGCTCTGCCCAGTTTGAGCCTCCTCTCCTACTTTGTTGGCCACTACTACTTTTCCCAGTCCCTACAATGTTTTTGAGCAGGAATGCAAGTTTTTCTCCAGGCCTCACCCGCTTCGGAGCCCATATTACCTGCACGAAAATCGAACCTCTCCTCCTTTGCTAGTGCTACTCTACATGAAGTCATGCCATTTCTACGAGAGGGATTTTCTTCCATCTCTCATTATTTTTTTTGGAAATTTCTGATGAGCCCACCTTTCATAGCGGGCATCTTGCAATCGAGTGCATCAAACTCACGGGAAGCTCTTTCCACCGAGCGTGGGCGGAAACCGGCTTGTGAAAAATATTGCTCATTAACTGCTCGCCTTCATGGTTTTTCAGCTGCTGCTGAGAAGTGTGGTGAACTTTTTTTACGTAGGTCACGCCCAGTTCTCGCTCCCCGTCCATCGTGGACAGAGTCTGGAACCAGATAATCTGCTCACTTGCCCCCACCTAGGCCCTACCCATTTGCACTTACTGTCACTTGCTAATAAGTGCGGTGCAGTCTTTCCTTCATTTTGGTACTTTTATCCCACTTCTTCAACGAGCTGCTTTTGAAAAAACCCTTAGGTCCAATATTTCACTTCAAAGTTGAACTGTGATAGACAAAAAATGTAAAATAGATAGATAGATATAAAATTTGGAAAATAGACACTAACCTCCGGGATACGCACTGTCGAGTCTTAGAATCAGCTCATCTAATTTGTTTTTTGGGTCTGAAACGAAATCTCATACAATTGTCGCATAAGCTGAAGCTCATAAAAGGTGAACATCTTTCGAACCGCAATACCCCAAAAACTTATCAGAACCGACCTTTTTTGATTCGAGCCACAAAAGCCTGCACAGCCTTGGCTATCGCTTCTGGCGAAGATGCCCATACTTTGGTGAATATTTTTTTCAATGTTTGCTTGGCTATCGCTTCGTTACTGTCCAAGAGTTTCTTCAAATCATCGCAGTTGTCGATGAGTGTCAAAATTTCCGGACAGCCTGCGGAAGAAGGAGTTATAAAGGCCAAAGAAGGCATATGTGTTGAGCAGGGCGATTATAGGAGAAGGAACGGGAGGAAATAATACCACAACAGCTCCATAAATTTAAAAAAGAAAGATTTTTCTCTCGATCGCAGTCTTCCTTATCATGAACTCAAAACGACGAGCTCGCTAAAAAAGGACCATTGGAATTGTGAACTAACGACCATCAGAAAATAACAATGGAGCGAGCTGCAGCGAACTCCATTCATCGTTTTTATGGGTATATCTACATTGACCAATCTTGATGAATTCCTGTATTTCTGACAACGTAACGCAATATCGAACCGTTACAACGAAAAGTTTCTAACCTTTCAGATTCCCATAAATTTCGTTCGATGGACNNNCTTGTGATTTGGATCCGGATAATGAGCAGGGTCTTTTGCATGTAACCTAATGGCTTCTTCCTGAAAAAAAAAACAATAATCCAAAGATACATGATAAACGATAATTCGTCATTTGATGGGTTGATATATCGCATTTTTGGGTAGGACAAGCTAAGAGAACGAAGAAATGTGCATATACTGGGTTGTTTCAATGGTGGAATAGGCGTCCAACAACGAATAGAATTCAATGTAAAAGTACAACAACAGACCTTAGTTGGATGACTTTGTATAGACAGAGCTTTCTCCACAGATAAAACTTTGAACAGGAATTGCAGGGTACCTGAAATTGAAGTAATCAGCGATGAATCTCAAAGAAAGCATAATCTTACAAACCTTGCTCGTGTTTTCCGACCATTTCTGGATGATTCTTGATGCAGTTTAAAAGATCCTCTGATGTTTGCTCGATTTTCGCTGGCCCATTCTTATGTACACCCATCCAGAACTGAATTGTTATTGGATTTTGGAGTGCATTTCTCAACAACTCTTTGATGTCGGGAAGACGACAGAAAAATGAAGCAGAAAATCCACTTGCTTGACAATTGTTAGTTGAACACAACGCCTTACATAGAGCAGCCGAAAATTAACTTTTCAGCAAAAAGAAATTTGGCAGTTTCTCATATAGTTTTCCTGATCACTCGCTCAGTTCAATATCGTTGAAGAAATCGACAAATTGATTAAATTTGAGCCAAGAGATTGCGGGCTTCTTACGATTACTTCACCGGCGCCTTCCACTGAACTCAGCATGAGGGAATAAATATGTACTTCGTGATAACAAAAGAATGCTCAGAACCCAGCGGTACATAATTTATTACATTCGCTTCTGATCCACGAAAACTACGGTTGTGGTACTGCGAGACGAAACTGGCATGGATTAGTCAGTAATCGCCAATCGTAACGGCTGGTTACTTCTGCATGGAAATCGTCCGCATCCTGTTCAGGCTGCCATTCATAAACTAAACGGCGCAGGGCCAAGAACTCTGCCATACAATATACTCAGCAGCGACGAGTAATGGGACCAATTTGTAAAGCTGTAATCTCTCGCTCAAGCTCAGTATACCCGCGGCTACGCTTCACCGAGAACGAGAATTGACTTCCTTCCACTGTTACTCTATGGGAAGCTTTGTTAAGCCTAGGCACATTCAGTTCCACCCATCGCAGATGAACGTCGTCTCGTTTATTAACTCTTTCCTAATCTTCACCTACTATCTTCCGAACCATACTGTTCTGAATCCGAACTGGGAAAGAAAGTTGGCCTTGCCTGACCTAGCTTCCCCATAATTACGCATTTTCTCACCCACAGCCAGCCAGCCATACACACAGTAGATAGCAGAGCTATACATACAGTCGCGGTCAAAAGTTTGGAAACTTTCTATTTTTTGATATAGCGCGGGCACTGAATTACGTAACTGTCTCAATTTTGCAGCATAGTAGGTGTGAAAACAGATAAA